AATACTTTCACACTTTAGAAGTAGAGCTTCGAATTATCTAGGCTGTTTTTCTTATTTCAGCACCATGGACAGAGCCTAAGTCTTCCTCACTTCTTGATCAGAGTGTTTTATTGTTTGAGGACAGGTCATTGTTGCAGTGTTAACGTATATTGGATTAAACGAAGCCCTTCCCCTCTCTTATTTCCATGACAATACGTTTTTAACTGTTCTAAGTCAAAGATTAATTTTTTTCTCCACAGTGGTTATAGTTATTTATAACATTGTGTTTTCTTTGTATACTAATGGTGTTTTTTTTGCTCTGATAAGTTTTACTTACCTTTACAGTGTCACATATAAACAGTACCGGCAGCATGAAAAAAAACAAAAAAAACAACTCTCTTTTGTTAATTTGGCATCAGTTTACATCAAATTTTGAATCAAAAAACGAATTTCTTTGCTCATGAGGCATACCTGCAAATCCTGTGATGCGCTGTTCCTGATCTGTTTTTGAAAAGGGAATGGTTACCTTTTCGAGTTGTATGCGTCTAAAAAAAAGCGGCACTACAGATTCAAGAGCTCGTGTGTGTGTGTGTGTGTGTGTGTGTGTGTGTGTGTGTGTGTGTGTGTGTGTGTGTGTGTGTCTCTGTGTCTGTGTGTGTGTGTGTGTGTGTGTGTGTGTGTGTGTGTGTGTGTGCGCGTGTGTGTGTGCGCGCGCGCGTGTGTGTGTGTCTGTGTGTATGTGTTAGAGCCAGAGAGAGAAAGAAAAACATATTTTAGTACACTTACAGTGGATATAATTAATCATCAGTATTTGTACCCAGTTTATACAGGCGTAGTTTCTCTTTCTCATGTCATTCCATGAGGTTGGCCGTTTAGGCTTGTATTACAAAACAAATAACTCTAAGATGACGTAAAACAAATATTTTGTCACATTAAATCATTAAATCGTCGTGTTACATTCAAGTACCCATGAGCCTGCACATTGAAAATGATTGTGAGTGCTTTACATCCTCCACAGCATTCTGCAGTTCGGCATGATGAACTCTTAGGGCCGCTGTTGGCCAGTCTGTGTTAGTTGGGAGAAGAAATCAGCAGAACCTCCCACATCATTTCAGATAGAGAACGAGAGAAAGACACAAGGATCGGTACGGGACAAGAAGACTGGAGCTGTAAACGTTAATATGGACTGATACTGTTATTTCACATCTGTAATTTACGATCTAACTGGTGACTGCAAGTATCCCTAGGACATAAATAGGATTACTACTGAAGAGCAATCCCCTTTTTACAGGAATATCACGCGATTCATTTGACAGGAACACGACGGCCAGAACAATGAGACGGCAAGTGCAGCTGTTTATCTTGATCCTCTATTTCAGTTCAGTGATTGGGCAGGTCAGCTACTCCATCCCAGAGGAAAAGCCGACAGGTTCTTTCGTGGGTGATGTTGCGCAAGATTTGGGTTTGGATGTGAAAAGATTGAAATCAGGAAAAGCTCGCATTTATACAGGAGACAGTGCAGAATACATCGAGTTAAATAAAGAAAGAGGAGTTCTCCTTGTCAAAGACAGAATAGACAGAGAGGTGATCTGCGCTCAGACGTCGCCCTGTGCTCTTCATTTCCAGGTTATTTTGGAGAATCCTATGGAATTTTATAGTATTACCGTTGAGGTTACAGATATTAACGACAACGCCCCGATTTTTAAAAGAGGTGAAATTAAATTCAGAATAAGCGAGTCAGCTGTTACAGGGGCAGTATTCTTGTTGCAGCAGGCAATAGATCTGGATGTCGGTGTGAATGGCCTTCAGAGTTATTTCTTAAAACCAACCGATAACTTTGTTTTGAGGCTGCAGAATCAAGCCGACGGAAGCAAAATGGTAGAAATGGTTTTACAAAAACCTTTAGATCGAGAAAATCATGATCATTTGTCGCTTGTATTGACGGCAGTAGACGGTGGTGAGCCACAGCTCTCAGGGACAGTTCAAATCAATATAAATGTGCTTGATATTAATGATAATGCTCCAGTTTTTACGCAAAAAAATTACAAGTCTACCATAAGAGAAAATTCACCCTCAGGAACGCAAGTAATGATTGTTAGTGCATCTGACTCAGATGAAGGACCTAATGGAAAAGTATCTTATGCTATACTAAATCTACTCGACAATGTGTCCGAGTTATTTGAGATAAACAGAGAGACCGGAGAAGTTACACTGACCGGTAACACTGACTTTGAAAAAAAGCGACAATATCAAATACATGTTCAGGCCAGCGATGAAGGAGGACTAACTGACTCATGCAAAATTATAGTTGAAATAACTGACACAAATGACAACACACCTGTTATAAATGTCATGTCAAAATCCAGTGCAATAAAAGAGGACATTCAGTCTGGCACTGTTGTGACAATGATAAATATCCAAGATCCAGATGCGGGCAAAAATGGAAAAGTTCAATGTTACATTAACGAGAACATTCCATTCGCAATTTCCTCAACGTCAAATAATTTCTTTAGTTTGACAACAGACAATGAATTAGACAGAGAGAGAGCTTCTGATTATAATATAACAGTGACCTGTTCTGATGAGGGAGTGCCCTCCCTCTCCAGCAGCGTCACTCTCACCTTACAGATCTCTGATGTGAATGACAACGCGCCTGTCTTTGAGAGGAGCTCATATGAGGCCTACATTGTAGAAAACAACACACCAGGCCTCTCTATATTCACAGTGAAAGCCAGAGACGCTGACTGGAACCAGAATGCCCGTGTTTCTTACATACTGGAGGACTCCTCTGTTAACGGAGTGCCAGTCTCCTCATACGTGTCCGTTAGTCCTGATAGTGGAGTCATCCATGCAGTGCGCTCTTTTGACTACGAGCAGATCAAAGATTTCCACTTCCGCGTCAAAGCGCAGGATGGAGGCTCTCCTCCACTCAGTAGCAATGTGACTGTGAAAATACTGATCCAGGACCAGAACGACAACCCTCCTCAGGTTCTGTACCCAGTCCAGACTGGTGGCTCTCTGGTCGCTGAAATGGTGCCTCGTTCAGCAGATGTGGGCTATCTGGTGACTAAAGTGGTGGCTGTTGATGTGGACTCTGGACAGAATGCCTGGCTCTCCTATAAACTGCAGAAAGCCACAGACAGGGCGCTGTTTGAAGTGGGCTTACAGAATGGAGAAATAAGAACTATCCGCCAAGTCACTGATAAAGATGCAGTGAAACAAAGACTGACTGTTATAGTGGAGGACAACGGGCAGCCCTCTCGTTCAGCCTCAGTCATTGTTAACGTGGCGGTGGCGGACAGCTTCCCTGAAGTGCTGTCGGAGTTCACTGACTTTACACACGACAAGGAGTACAATGACAACCTGACTTTTTACTTAGTCTTGGCTCTGGCTGTAGTTTCCTTCCTCTTCATCACGTGTTTAGTGGTTATTATATCAGTGAAAATCTACAGATGGAGACAGTCTCGCATCCTGTATCACTCCAATCTCCCTGTGATTCCATATTATCCACCACGTTACTCAGACACTTTGGGGACAGGGACTCTCCAACACGTGTACAATTACGAGGTGTGCAGGACGACTGACTCCAGAAAGAGTGACTGTAAGTTCGGCAGAGCTGGTAGTCAGAACGTGCTGATAATGGACCCCAGTTCTACAGGGACGATGCAGCGGATACAGAATGAAAAGAGCATCCTGGATGAACCAGACTCTCCTCTTGAGGTTAGAATTGAACATTGTTTCACATTGGATTTCACCTTTGATGCACTCAAAAAGCTTAATTTTAAACTTGAAGAAATGTGACCTATATACCCTTAATGAAAATCGCTGTTTATAACAAAACATTGTTTTGTGTTACCTGCAAGCGTTATAATATTTTTATTACTACCATGTGGATCTTAATCGAGTCTTAATACTTGACTTCGGTAAGGCCATGTGCCTTTATTCTATTTTATTTCAAGAAAATGTGTACTTTTCTGTTTCTACAGTACTTCAGTGTATTCAGGATCATCACATGTTCCCCGTACCGATTATTTCCTACTCTGTATCATAAAGATTATTCTCAGTGTTAGTTGCTAATTCTGCTAGTGATAACAGCGCCTAATGACACTAATTACTCTTTCAAAGGCCGTCTTCACTGCTTGTCTGTGTGTTTATATAACTGGAAAAGGCATTTCTTCTGTATAAAAAAGATTTGACCTATATTTCATAAGTATTTGTACTAGCGTCCTCAAGGCTTTTACTGGTGTCTGATTGATGGTGGTGTACCATCACAGACAAATTTCACTCATCAACATTGGTGGTTTTAAGGTGGACCATTGAGTGTTAAATATCTGACTGGTACCTGAGATGTTAAACGTCTGTCTACCATATGATAGGCTTCAATACTTTCCCTTTGCACAGATTTGTGTAGTACATTAGATTGAACTCGTAGGGCCGCTGTTGGCCAGTGTGTCACAAGTGTGTAGCAGGTTTCAGCAGTACCTCCCCCACAAACGTCTTTTCTTCTTAAATCAGTGAGAAACAGACTCGCAGTGCGAATATCACACAAGAGAGCACCCAGTACCGACACGGAAAGCTAAAGAAAACTATCAGTAACTGAATATTCCAAGCTGCTTTATATATTGAGGAAGTACAGCGGATTGATCTTTCAGTGAAAATAGGGCTGTAACGGGATTCGTGTTGCATGGAAACANGGCTTCAATACTTTCCCTTTGCACAGATTTGTGTAGTACATTAGATTGAACTCGTAGGGCCGCTGTTGGCCAGTGTGTCACAAGTGTGTAGCAGGTTTCAGCAGTACCTCCCCCACAAACGTCTTTTCTTCTTAAATCAGTAAGAAACAGACTCGCAGTGCGAATATTACACAGCAAGAGAGCACCCAGTACCGACACGGAAAGCTAAATAAAACTCTCAGTAACTGAATACTCCAAGCTGTTTTATATACTGAGGAAGAAGAGCGGATTGATCTTTCAGTGGAAATAGGGCTTTAACGGGATTCGTGTTGCATGGAAACACCGGACGGAACAATGAGGCGGCAAGTGCTGTTGTTTATCTCCTTCCTCTCTCTTTCATCGGTGGCCGGACAGGTCAGCTACTCCATTCCCGAGGAGATGGCAAAGGGCTCATTAATCGGTAACATCGCTCAGGATCTAGGTTTAGACAGGAAACGACTAACATCAGGTAAAGCTCGGATTTTTACTGGAGACAGTGCTGAGCACATCGAGCTGAATAGCGAACGAGGAGTCCTCCTTATCAAAGAGAAAATAGACAGAGAAGCGCTGTGTGGACAGACGACGCCCTGCGCTTTGCATTTTCAGATTATATTGGAAAACCCTATGGAATTTTATACTGTTGTTGTCGAAATTACAGATATAAACGACAATACTCCAGTATTTGAAAAAACTGACATGAAATTCAAAATAAGCGAGTCTGCCGTAATAGGAGCGAAATTCTTGCTAGAGAGGGCATTAGATCCCGATGTTGGCATGAATAGTCTGCAGAGTTATTATCTGACTAAGACTGAGAATTTTGTGCTGAAACTGAAGGATCAACCCGATGGAGAAAAGATTGTTGAAATGGTTTTACAAAAACCTCTTGACAGAGAGAAGGCAGAGGAGATATTTCTAGTTTTAACTGCGGTAGACGGAGGGGAACCAAACCTATCTGGGACAGCGCAGATACATGTTACAGTGCTTGATGCTAATGACAATGCGCCTGTTTTTACGAAGACGGTTTACAAAGCTACAATAACAGAAAACGCCCCCAAAGGTACAGTCATAACCAGGGTCACTGCTTCTGATGCTGATAAAGGATCAAATTCCAAGATAACATATTCAATATCCAACACCGCTGCAGATGTAAGAGACATGTTTGAAATTCATGAAATAAATGGGGATTTGATCTTGAAAAGTAGCGTAGACTATGAAAAGGCACGTTACTATCAAATACACGTACAAGCAAGTGATGAAGGAGGCCTGACAGATTCATGTAAGATTACAGTTGAAGTGATAGACATTAATGATAACAAGCCAGTCATTAATATTATGTCGCAGACTAATGTGATTCCCGAGGATTCTAAACCAGCAACAGTTGTGACTATGGTCAATGTTCAGGACATAGATTCCGGAGATAATGGCAAAGTCCACTGCGCAATTAATGAACATATACCTTTTACACTAAAGCCGACATCAAGTAATTTCTTTAACCTACTGGCAGACAATGAATTAGACAGAGAGAGGGCCTCTGAGTATAATATAACAGTGACCTGCTCTGATGAG